TATAGACTGACTCTCCCAAAACTGTGAGCCAAATCAAACTTCTGATCCTTTAAGTTGGGGGTGTTGGGTGTTTTGTCCAAGTGATATGAAAGCTAATGAATAGGTTTCAGTGATTGGAACACAGATGTCCTTGGGGGGGAGCCATGATTCTGTCCACCAGACAGCCTACCCCAGGGCTGGCGTGAAAGAGCTCCTGAGCTGCCTACATGGTCTGCTGTGACATCACAGCAGCAAGGCCTTTTTCCTTTCTGGAGTCTCCTCTTCCATGTTCTCTGGTTTATCACAGAGTCTACAGGATGGAAGAGATCTTATAAATTGGATGCATTTGAAATTGTCTTTCTGTAGGTCTGAGGAAACAGTCTTTTGTTGGAGGCTGTGGTTCTAGAACATTGCTTTAGTACTTTGACATAGAGGCTTTGGAATTCTAAAGAGCTGGAAAAATCTCTAGGGTCGCAGGCAGGAATCTGAGTACTTTGTCATGAGTCTTCATTGATCATAATTGTCTTTGAAGGGCAGACACTGTGGAAAATAGACTATTTGGGGCTGGTATGACTGAATAACTGCAGTCATGTATGATTCTGAGCAGAGGTAGAACAGTGATGTAAGAATATAAAACACCCTGAAAGCGTACGTCCTTCCTTGTTCTTATTTTGCTGCAACCAAGGGGGATCCTGCCCACCCTGAGTGTGACTCTTTACAGCCCGCAGTCATGGAATGTGGTCCTCTTTGGGCAATCTAGCAGTGCACAGGTTCATTGCAGGCAGATGGTTCATGGATCCATGTGGCTGGGCTGGCCCATTCCCTGGGCTGCCTTGGCAGGAGCATTCTGGCAGGCAAATGCTGATGCCACTTCAAAGAACCACCCCTCCAGGTGCTGAGGGCGGCTTTTCCGATGCCCATGCTGTGTCATTGTTTATTTACCCAAGGCGCTCAGCTGCTGCGGTGATGATATTTATATCAATAAGTGCTCTATTCATCTGCTGATTTTAAGGGATGCTTGCCAGCTGCATATGGCAGCCAACTTCGAGGCGCTACTGAACCTGATGTTTTGCATTTAGGGACTCAATTCTCAAAGTCTGTACCAACATCTGGGGATGAAAGATCACTCATTCACCTATCCTGAAAAGAGCACATATAGCCAAAGACCTTGACCTTTTTATTAAACAGTAATGTGGTTACTTTCTAACTTACATAGTTTCTTTGAAACTCCTGTTCTGGGTCTGAGCTCTGGTTTGGTAAAAGGGATACTGGAAAAAGAACAAATGGGCTTTCATAGGTCCTATTAACTTTTAAGATATGGAGCTGAGTTTATGTTTGTCAAGTAAGAAAACAGGTGGCAATGGTTTCTGATTCTGAAACTCTGCGGGGAATATTCTAGAACTCTGCTTTATGGGAATTCATTACTTTCAAAGGTATCATAGTTTCCCTCTTTTCACTGTTTAGGCTCCAAAACCTTGAGTTATCCTTGATTCCTCTTTATCTCTCACATTCCACATTTTGTCCTCTGTACCTTCAGGATATATATGGAGCCCGTGCCTTTCCTGCCATACTGCTCTGGGCCATTGTCGCCTGATAATTACAGTAGCCTCTTCTCTGTTCTGTGTCTGCCATGAGTTCCTGCTCTTCTCTTCTCCTGAACAACATCTTCTCAACACAAAAACCAGAGGAATGCTTTTAAAAGATGTTACCTTATGGCACTCTCTGCTTACAGTCTGTCAAATGGCTCTTCTTTCTCAGAGTAAAACCTCACATTTTTCCTATGACGTTGAACATCCTCCATGACCTGCCTTGTCTTTGATGGTGCTGTCTGCTATTCTTCCCACCTTCACTCTCTTGTGTGCCTGTGACCTTAGTGCTATTCCTCAAGGTCACCAGGTGCTTACACATGTGTGCCTACTGTTGGCTTGGGTACAGGTTGTTCTTCTGCCTGCGACATTCTTTGTGAGAGAGTGACACAGTTTATTTTCTCACATCTTCACCTTTGTGTTTCTTGACCACCCTATGAGTCAGCCCCCCCCAAAAAAATCCTTCTTGACCACTCTATTACAACTGCCTCCTGAGTTCCAAGCTAGCCTTCTGATCTTCATTATGCTGTCCTCTGATTTATCTTTTTTCATGCTGTTGTACCTGCCTAATATACAATTAAATACCTTGTAAGGTGTTGTTTATTGTTCATCATCCCACTTTGAAATAGAAAGTGCACTTAAGATGGGACCTTTTATGTTTCGCTTTGTCTGTGTTGTTCCCTGATGCATTCTACACAACTAAGAGAGCAGCCAACAAATAGCTGCCGCAGATGCTCAACAAAGGTGTCATGTGAATGAGAAGAATCTCTCTGGATGGCTCACACCGGCACACCTGGAGTTGGACTCCCTTTTGTCCACTCCTGTTCCACTCCTCTCCTGCCTCCTGCACCTTCCTGCCTTTCCATTTTGGCCAGGTGTTCCCTGGACACATGATTGCTCAGATGAGATGCCCACCTCTTTTTTCCATCACTTACCTCACACCTGCACCTGTTCTCTAAATCTTATGGATGTCAACACCGGAGACATTTTCACATTAAACCCCTATTCTCCCACCTCCAGGCCACATCCTCAGCTCAGATCTCCCTTTATTTTCAGCGTATGTGCTACATTTTCCACCCCAATTTCTGCTTCCCAAGTTTGTGCTCTGGCATTCCCTTTTCCTTGTCCTGGACTTGGTTTTCTATCAGGAACTCTGGCTGTGTTGCTCCACACTTACACCTCCCCAAATCTCTCCCTAGGAGACATCTAGGACTTTGTAACTGTCTTCCTAGACACTCTGGGATCCCACAAAGGAACCAAGGGTGACTGAGCTTCCATGGCCTCTAGGAGGAGGTGAAAGGCCAAGGTAGTTAGAACCCCAGACCCCTAGGTCCTACTTCAAAATGACCAGCTTTTGGTCATAGCTCTTCATACCCTGACTATGCATGAATGCTTTTATTCTTAGGAAGGATCCTGTGGCTTAAAATGTAAAAGTCTAGCTTCTGAGCCCTGAACAGGGAGCTATGGAAGCTGGCCTCCTCAGCCACAACATACTCTTTTTGAACAGATCCCAAGCCCCAGCCATGCTGAAACAGAAGCTGAACTGCAAACAAACTTACATCTATCCATCCTGTTGAATTTGCCCCTGCTTTCACTTCTGCTGGAAATTTTTGTTTCAGCATTCAGAACTGAACTAAGGGCCCTCAAGATTTGTATCTGTATATTCAAAATAGTTAGGATAGATATACAGCCACATTCTCTTAATTCAATGAATAGAGAGATTTGTTCGTATAGTGTTTGTGGACAGGATATCATGTCTGCATCTTGCACAATGAATAACCACTAAGACAATAATATGCAATGTATTAATTATTGAAACTGTGGTAGTAATCTGTTTTGAAACTGTCTCATTGCTATTTGTTTCTCAATAAAATTATTTAAAAAATGAACTATAGCCCATTTTTTCCCTAATTTTTAAAATTTTGATACAGCATCTCAGTAAGTTGCTAAATTACTGAGGTTGGGCTTGAACATACAATCTTTATGTCTCAGCTTCCAAGTGCTGGAATTACAGGCAGGTGGCAGTGCACCTGGCTCTGGAATTCTCCCAGCTAATTCATCCCCCATTACTTGAAACAATCCACTTTATTCAAGGTCAAAATCACCTTCTTGAGACCCAGTCCTAGCCCAGGTCCGCTGGAATTCATCCTGTGATTTCAGAGGACAGGAACTCAGCACATCCGACATCTGGAAGGTTGGGGGTCTCAATACTGGATGGCACCCAAAGGTGCACTGTTCTCTGTACCACCAGTGTGCGTCTTCCCCGCCTCAGGCCGGGAAAGATGGAGGCTGGTACATTCTTGGTTGAGACGCTTTGGGCTGCTAAGAAAAATTTGCTCAGAAGAGCAAAATGTGCCCTCACTGTTGAGGTGAAGCTTCTCGAGGGAACCTGACAAAGTGTCTTCTGACTACAAAGGAACAAAACGAATCTGACTACTTTCTGTTCGGTAATACCCAAGCATATCATAATCCTGTAGTCTGATGTTAACTGTGAGAACGCTAATAAAGTTTAAACACATTTTGTATGGTAAAAAAAAAAAAAAAAAAAAAATCACCTTCTTTTTGAAGTGTACTCTCACTCTCTGGGCCGAATGCATCGTTCCTTGCTCCTTGTGAGCTTAGCTGCTGACCTCTATTATGGCACAGCCACAGGATGGAGGGACAACTTGCTCATCCATCTCTATGGCAAGGCTGAGTTTCTAAAGGCTGAAACTAGATAGCTCAGATCCTGTTGAAAATATTGCTCATTGCCACCAAGGCTCTGCATAAGGCCCTACGGGAGTGAACCGAGGTGCTTTGAATTGTCTTCAAGGCAGTGAGAGGACAGGAAATTTTCACTTCTTTCACTCAAGAAAGGGCCAGTCTCCAAAAAAGCTATCTTTAGACATGTGTGTGTCCCGTGTCCCAAGTGTGAAGATGGGTTGTAAGTTCATGATGTTTGCAGCTGCCCAACCCAGATGGGCCAGGGCATGAAGCCAGAGCTTTGGGGAGAGGTGGTTCAGGAGCAAATCTTCCGGAAGTTTGAGGTCCAGGTTCTGGCAGCATGGGGTGCATGACAAAGGGGTCAGAGCAGGTGGGTGTGGCCAAACATTGAGTCTTCTTTAGGGCCACAGTGCTCAGTGTTGGAGAGGTGGCTTCCTGGCTCTGTAAGCACTCTGTGGTTATAGCAAGGGCCTAACCAGTGCCTGAGGCAGGCAGCAATGTTCACAGCCCTGGCCTTTGCTCAAAGGCAGGCTAGGTCACTGCTGGGGTTATCTGGGAAGAGGATCAAGCAAGAGGTTTCTTGTCTATGCGGGCAGCAGAATGGACTTCCCTGGTGCACATAGCCAGACAGTGACCATCACAGGGCACATCACAAGATCTCCCTCCCAGTCTACAGTGTGGCTCCCCTGACCTACCTGGACCCACCTAGGACAGCCCTTGGGCCTTTCTTACCTGAGCAGTGTCCATCTCATTCAGCATCACCACAGAGGAGCAGTTATAATCGAACACCAACCTCCAGAAGTCTGCCACAGTGTTGGGGAGAGGGTGCTGGGTGACCACAAAGGCGGCAGGTTGCTTGTGGCTCTGACAAAGGAATGACACAGACTTTGTAAAATACATAGCTGTCAGTGATATCCTGATGATGAGGAGGCCCTGAGCCTGCCAAATAGATTTCATAAAGCACCTGCCAGTTCTGTTATCTCCTGGTGCCCTGGTGGCAAAGGAGACCTTCTCGTAATGAACACGTTCTCCTCTAAACTAAGACATTTCATTAGGAAAGTGTCACTTGGAAGGGGATTAGCCAAATAAATTATTTATGTCATAGAGCTCAGCAAATAATCATCATTACACTATGAAATGAAAAATTCTGGATGCAGATTTGCTGCTCCGCTGACCAAGACATCTGTCAGGATATAAGGGATCCGCTGAGTCCCTGTGCCTGTGATGCTAGTAAGGGGTCGGACTGACCTTATATTGCATAGCTAGCTCCTGTCTCCAGGCTGGCTTGAGGACCGAGCTAGCCTGGCAGAAAATGGGCACTGTGCCCTGTGACTAGTAGGGCAGGGAAGATGCCTGGGTATCAGAGTCTCTTAAGTTAGGAGTTATCCATCCACCCACTCATTTGTCCATCCATTCATACATTCTTCATCCATTTATTTATTCAAACATCATTTGTAGAGTGCCTTTTAGAGGACTATGGGAAGATTAACACTGGTAAATTCTTAGGTGAATCTCAGCTCAGATTCTTTATTTGGAAAATGGAAATCATAAATGCTTTATAATTTTTTTTTCTGGTACCAGAAATCAAACTTGGGACCTTGCACTTGCCAGGCGGGTGCTTGAGTCACTGAGCTATATCCCCAGTCCATGGGAATCATAAATGCAAAGGAATAATTATGTTACAATTGAGTGAGATTTGGATGTAAAAGGACCAGCAAGCAAGAGCCTGGCCTTGAGCTCACTGGCAGGGTAAAAACACCTGGGACTTAGGTTTTCATCCGGGGCACTAGTAATAGAGGTGGTACACACTAGACCCAAGGTGTAACTCCAGTGGAGAAATGAATTAACTCAGCCCCAAATTCAGATGGGAAAAGGAGACCCAGAGAGAATGAACTATGTGAGTCTTGGAACTTCAGCTGGGTCCTGGCTGTCATTACCCTGTGAGACAGAGTGTGGGAAGATTGAACATCATCTGCATCTCATTAGTGGTTTGTGAAATCTGAGATGTAACCTGTGTTTTCCACAAGTTTCCTGGGGAGACAGTTCCTGTGAGCCTTTCAGCTGTTTCTACAGGAGTCCCAAGTTAGAAAGTGATGGAAGAGGAAGGGGACCAGGAAAATCGGTTCTAACAGGACACTAGACATTTATAGGGAGACCTGCTTTTCCAGGCTGTTCTCCTGGCCCATGGAATTGTCAGAAGAGGCTGGGAGGGCAGCACATTCAGTTGTTCAAAAGTCAAACTCCCTAGCCATAGATAGCATGGGGTTTTGATCCATTTCCAGATGTGGAAAAGAATCAAGGCTTTGGACCCAGCAGCCATGGGGCTCAGATTCCTGGGGCCCACCGTTTCTGAAATAGTTGACCTCAAGCAAGTCTGACCCTCCATATGTCTCTGAAAAATAGGGACAACAATACCTGAATGCAGAATGAGACAATACAAGTCCAGGATGCAACATGGTGCCCAACATTCAGGGGACATTAGCTTTCTTTGCTTTTTCCCCTGTCTCTGTGATAAATGCTCTATTAGACCAGCACGCCTGACAAAGCCTTATCTGAAAATATGCTTGAGATCCATGCTCCTGCCGAGTTTCAGGGATCAGCCAGCAATCCATTTCATGGATAACATCATTCTTTACCAGGGGAAACATTAAAAATTAACCCAGAGGACTTCATTTTTTTCTGCTAGAGGCAAAGCTGCTATGGTTACCAGATAATGCACAGACTGAGCTAGAATACAGATAAAGAGTTTTTTTTTAATATAAGAAAGGCAAAGGCCCAGGTGATGGCTCACAGGAGAAATGCCCTGTGGACAAAGAGAATACAATCAGAATCAGAGCTTGGCAGAAGGCATTTTGACTCCAGGCAGCATCTAACCTACTAAGTAGAGGCCAGGGGCTTGTCTGATAGTTGCTTGGACGAAGCAGGAAGGGAGTAGATTCAGACAACTAGGGGGAAGCGAGGGGAAACTTGGCAGTGTGGGAGCACCTCTTCACACCACCTGTCAGCTCAGGCGGTGCACATTCATGCTCACATATACATGCACGCACACACTGACCTTGGAAGGTCCTAACCTAAAACCAGAGGTTTCCCCTCTGTCTCTGGCTATTCGACATGACCCAGATGGTGCTCTCTGCTTCTGAACACACAGAAAGGGGTTTTTGTGGGATGTATGAGAAACTGTGGGCAAGACCCAGAGAGGCTTCTTGAGAGGGCAGGTTGGCATTGGCCTCCCATCAGCTCCTTGCTTCCAACACCTGGGACGCTTGGTGAAAAAGCTCAGGAGGGTAAGCAATCAGAGAAAAGCCCAGCGGACAGCATCCTCTGTTCCTGTGGAAGGGTCACATGAGCTATGAGGGCATCACCTTGGAGTGAGAAGGGATGAGAAAGGGTGCTTGGAACAGCTCATCCCCAATCAGGAGATGAGGCTCTTTGTCCTGAGTCTCAGGAGGCAAGATTTCTGCATGCTACGGAAATCAAGCAAGCTATGCTATGGAAATCAAGCAAGCTATGGGAATGCTCAAGAAATGAATTCTAGTGTGGCAGCTGGGAGCCCCAGCTTTGACTTAGCTACTATTTCTTTGGGTGACCTCAGACAACACTCTTTTACAGCCCAGTTTCCCTCAGTTTCTTCTGCTGAAAAGTATATGGATGGGACCAGATGGTCTGTGTTTCTGTCCTGCTATAAACATCTCTGTATTATGGGCACAGGATGATGGTAACCAGAAGTAGCTGGAAGACCCAAGGGTGGAATCACTTTAAGCTTTTGGGTTTAGTCTCTCCAGATTCTTTTAGCCAAGGAGCCAAGAGCCAAGCTTGTGTCCAGGTTTGGGCCTGAGCCCTTGGGATGAACAAAGGTGCTCAAGGCAGGCAGGTCAGAAGCAGGAGAGGTTGGCTGGTAGGGCCAGGGCCTTGGGGGTGCAGCCACCTCCACCTCAATAAGCTTGTCCCTGGAGTACCAGCCAGCAGTTTTCTGCCAGGGTTCTGCTTACATCCATCAGTGCTGCATTGATATAGTTGCTGGATTCTCCATCCACTGAGATGAGGAAGGGCAGGCAGCGGTCTAGAGGCAGGACATCCATGCTCCGGTTCTTATCATGGTTCCGGGGCAGGAGCCCGATGCTGCAGTCCTCAGGCCGGACACGGGGTGTCACAATGTTGAGTGTCTGTGGGACACAAGGCAGGCAGATGGAAACTGCTTAGATAGCTTCCTCTGAGGAGAGGGGACAGTGATGTCCCACTTTAGCTTCACTTGTTTATCTCCACCCTTTAAGCTTGGCCCTGCTGTCCCTTTCCATGGACACATACCTCCTCCATAGCGGTGGTCTTCTATCATAGCCCCCTCACTGCTACAGGACTGGTGAATTCAGAGCCTTTACCAGGGGCTTATATAACACTTAAAATGCCAAGGGTGCAAAGGAGCATGCCCATGGGCTCAGACCTGGGGCCTTGTCTCCTGCCAGCCAGTTGGACCGAACTGTCCAACTCAGCCATTGATGCCTTAAAGCACAGGCCAGCCAGAAAAGCGTGTGATAGGGACAGGAGTCGGGAACCCCTAATGAGTGCTAAAAACCACTTAAAGTGTCATGGAATGAGGAAAATGATTTACCAGCACTCTTCTGAGAAAGAAACCTGTATGAGGATGGAAGGATGCTCAGGGTAGATGAGATACCCGCAAGGGGTACGCTCTACTAGATCTGCAAAATTGCAGGGCTTGTGCTCTGCCCAGTGAGTCTTCAAATTTAGAACCAGAACTACCCCAGATAATAGAGACTAAATTCTGTGTCCATTGTCCTTCCATTCTTCAGGCATTTGTTATATTGTTTCTGCTGTACCTCAGTAACTGACTATTTGAAGGAGCATTAAAATATTGACCTAGCTGGGGTATCTGCCCATGAAACCATGAGCCTAGCCTTTCCTCACAGGCTTAAAGCATGTATGTGGGCATGATAGAAAGACCTTTGCTTCCTTCTGCCTGGTGCTCCACTGCTATCACTCAGGCAGGACTCTGGTACGGGCCTTGGGATAGAGGGCTCAACTCTAGCTTTGCTGTATTCAGTGAGTCGTGTCCAGACCACTTGGAAAAAAGTTGCCACATGTCTAACCATATGGGCTCCAAGGCACACATCTGCTATGACTGAGCTGTGCTGTAGAAGTACACTTCTGAAATCTTAATAAATAATCACTCAAAGATCCTGTTAAATTGCAGGTTTTCAGTGAGGACTGGGTAGAGTCCACAATTCTATATTTTCCAGGTGAAGCACCTGGTGCTCAGCTCTAGAACTTGCTATATTTCAAGTAGTAAAGATCAACTGAGAAAACCTGAGACCCTCCAGGGACAAAGAAGCATGAAATTCATATCTATGTGCATGACTTTTCTCCATTCATGACCTGAGGTAGGACTAAGAAAGATCTAAGTCTGCAAACATAATTACAGGTAGGTGCAAGCTTCAGCCCTCAGTGAGTTGCTGGCTTGTAGCTGCTCACGGCTGTGTGCTTGGTGTTCAGGACTGTATTCTGCAGCTGCCTGGCACTGCAGCCTGAAAGCCCATGGACAGCTCAGTTCTCACAAAGAAAGCCCCACAAATGTGCACAGTGCCACTGAAGTTGGCAGTCTCTGCTACAGCTTAAATGTGTACCCCACAAAGGCATCTGTTGCCATGGTGATGGCTTTAGACATTGGGTTCTATGGGAGATAATTAGGTCAGGAGAGTGGAACCCTTACATATGGAGTTAGTGCTCTCTAAAAAAGAGACACCAGAGCTTTCTTCTCTGCTTTCCACCACGTGAAGCTACAACAAGAAGGCAGCCACCTGGAAACTCGGACAGCATCTGAGTCCTGTGCAGACACCAAAATTGCCATCAGTTTGATCTTTGACTCCCCAGCCTCCAGAATGTGACAAAGCAGTATCTATTATTTAAACCACAAAGCCAATGAAAGTTTGTAATAATAGTTCAAACTGACTAGGACAGTCTCCAAGATTTATCCATACCTGAAATTCATCTTTGATCTGGCTGGAGTTCGTCTGTGGGTCCAGCCTACTGATGTTGTAGTAAAGAGAGCGGAACTCACACACGGGGATGGCCGTATTGCCGCAGAGGCATGCTTCCAGGATGGCATCGTGCACAAACACGTACTGCTCCTGCAGTCAAGGCGAGAAGGAACAGGGAGCTAGGTAAGAACAGTAGCCATGAACACTGAGCATGATTTATATTGCTGAACCCATTTTTCTTATCTTCTAACCCAAAGGACAAAGTCCTCATATCTCACGGTGGCTGCTTGATCCCCGGTGTGTGTTGTTCCTTATATAAGGTTGAACAACAGAATCATAATATAAATGAGAAACTTGTCAATGTATCATGGCAGGTGTTCTTGGTCCCTTGACCACCTCTCCTTTTTACCTTTACTGCTAAAAGCCATGTGCTGCTAATAACCTGTGATGATTCTTTTCAGAAGGCTTTCTCTAGACCCAGAAGCACACTTGGGCTGTGAGCTGGTAAACCAAGGTCAAGGAGGTCATGCCCCAGTAAGGAGCCCTGAAGCAATGGCAGAGAGGGAGCTGAGGACAAAACCCACACTCTCTCTACCCTTTGATGGGACAAATTAGAGATTCAGGTTCCTCACCATCAGAATTCTTCAGCTGGACCAGGGTCCAGGTGTTTACCATATTTAGCAGCCTGGTAAAACACCCTTTGTTGTTTTCCTTTCCTCCTCCTCCTCCTCACTTTTCTCACTTGACAACCAGGTGTCTTGGGATTACCTCCAAAACAGGGTCTTCCTCTAAAGCCTGTGTCAGATGCATCCCCACCCTGAATCTTTGTACCAGCTCTTCTTTTTTGAAACTCCACACCCCTTTCACTATACCTTTCAATGTTTTATTCCTTTTGGAAAGTCTTTTCTAAATCCAGCAGGCAGAACTTCCTGTTGGGATTTTAGGTTCATGATAAGTGATTGTTGAGTGAGTTTTATCCTGAAAAAACATCATGGTTTATTTCTCTATATAAAGTACATCTCCAGATGCATTATGCATGGACCTGGGACTCAGTAAAGCACTTGTCTGGGCTATAGTGCTAGAAGCCTCAACACTGGCCTGTGTGAGGTAGCTCAGAGCCTGCAGTGAGGTCCTGGGTGTGAACCTATTTGTGAGAGTCTTTCCTGCAGAGCCAGGAAGGAATGCTGTGTCCAAGGCCATAGGTAGCTTCATTTTGCAGGGATATATGATGACGCACACAGCTCCCATGTGTCCCAGTTCTGCCTGGGTGCACAAGAGCTTCACCAGAATACCCGGGCTCATAATAAAAATGACAAACCAAGGCAGTGGGTTAGTGAGAGTGGCTCGGAACTAAGAACATAGGCCTTGGTGGCCCTTGGTTCTGGGTTCTAACACAGCTGGCTGTGAGGTCTTGGGGACATGGTTTGCCAATTTCCTCTTCATTGATAAAATGGAGACTCTAGTCAGGGTGACACCATAGTACATTGCAAAATAGAAACAACACAGATGAGCATTCTCTGGTTCACAGTAGATGGAAAACAATAACGACAAATCCCTCTATTTACTTCCTTGAGCTCTAACTAGACATGAAGATTCCTAGAGGACTTTCTCTCCTTCAAGGGCTGAAACTGTGTGTATCTTTCTTAGAATTCTCAGCCTTGGGATCATGTCCTCAAGAATTTTGTTGATTAAGCCATTTTTTTTCAGTGACTGTATTCATACTTAGGACATAGTAGGCATTCAATAAATACCAGCCTGTTTCTTCCCTCTCACTTCTTCACCTAAGGCTGGCATACTAGTCAAAGAATCCCTGACAGCTGCCATTCAGTTGGGCTTGAATGCCTTCAGCAATGGGGAACACACCACCATTCTTCATGGGTAGAATTATCTTTAGGATTGGCTGGGGTTTCTCAGTCTCTACAGGGGTCTCACCATAGCAAGTCACATGGTCATTCACATCTCTCACTGAGCAACCAGGTGTCTCCCACTCCTAGGTCCTTCTCTGTAGGATGCCACCACCTAGGGGTCTCTCTGTCCTGCAGTGCTTTTCCTTGGCCCCTGATGGGCTGCAGGTAGCTGGCTGGGTTAGTTTCCCGACTCACCTCTGTCTGCACCAAATTGACCCTCTGTGCCCGCAGCTCACGTACGCAGTTGAAGATGTCCACCACCCCTTCGTTCTCAGCCATGTCAAGCATGGTATCAATGGCAATGAAACAGCCAGTCCTCCCAGCTCCAGCACTGGAAGAAACAGGATAATCTGTGCTAGCATCCTGGAAGGGGACTAGTTTCACCAGCTGGCCCCATCCTGAGGGTCATGCTGAGAGGCAATATGCTGCCAATATTAGGCAAAACCACTAGAATCTCAGCACTCTGGGAGAGGCCTGATCAAGTGACCAAATTTGGAGCCTCAGCTTCCTCCTTTGTAAAGTTAAGGAGTAATGCTTGCCTTGGGGGGCATCTTATCCGGACTGGTTCTTCCTGCTATACTCAGTTAGCAACATGTACTTAATGCTTGTTGATTGTCAGCATATTCTCAGCACTTCACAAATGTCATCTATAAACTTCCCTCTGAGTTTGATAGCAAGTTTTGTACCCCATTTCACAGGTGAGAAATCTGAGGCACACAGGACTTCCTTTACCTGAGACTACACAGCTGGCAAGTGGCAGAACAGGGAATTTCATCCAGGAAGTCTGATTCCAGAATAAGTGCAGATACACTTCCTTTTAAAGTAATACATATAATGCAAGCTTGCACAGTAGGTGGGCATGTAGTCTCCTCAGTTGGTGGATAAAGATAACCCACTTGTATAGAGTGAATATTTTACCACAGTGCCTGGTACTCTGGAGTTGCCTAACATATGTGTCTTTCCTTTTTCCTTCCCTTTTTTTTTTAGCAAATGCGCTGATGAATGAAAACAACAAATAGGGACAGAGATATAACACACAGGAAACGAGTGAGAGAGTAAAAAGGTAGAAACAGGAGACCTCTGAGCTTCCCCAAAGGCGGAGAGGAAAACAGTCCAATGCCCTGTATGTGACATTATCTGCACCTTCTTCCTCAAGACCATGAACCAAAGACTCAGTCATTCGACTGGAGTGGGTGATGATAACCCTGGACCCTTGTCAGGCATGAATTTCCTGACACGTGTTCAATTTCTGGTCTTTGATTGTTTTGTTAGGAGAATCTCAGACCAAGAACAAAATAACAGGAGAACTCACTGAGACTATAGCACATGGGCAATTCTTTCTGAGTGAGTGCTGGGTTCTAACATGATGATGTGGAACCGGAGACACACAAGATGTTTGCCTTAAGAGCACAGTTTTGGAAGGGAAGCCCACGCATACTATCAAAGAGGCCTGTTTTGGCTGTGTTTCATATCTTGTTTTCCCTATGTAAATAAATGTCTTCATCTAATAATGTGAAAGATCAAAGCAAATGTAAAGAGGAAGATAGATGGGGGTAAGGTGGAAAAGCAATATTAGCTGATAAATCCAAGAAACATAGGCCAGTGAGGACCATAACACACAATGATCTGGAAAGTAAACTGATAGGAATGGTCTTCCCATGACCAAAGGTCACAGCTTACATTGACTGAAGTCTGACCTAGACACCTGCCTCAAAATATGTCCCCTCTTCTACAATTCAGACCCCCTCAAAAGGGACTCCTCTCTCTGGACTTTGGCGTCCTGGAGGGAGTACAAAGAGATATTCATCTCTTGTTCTAGGTCATATTTTCAACATATTTTAAGCAGAGAAGCAGCCTGCCTTGGTTCTGAATTTTGGATGCACAATCAGTGAATGAGTTGTCCAGTGCCTATTAGTCTGTCTTCTTAGAGAGAAAATGCACCTCTTTTCCAGGAGCTTTGTAAAAATTGGACTATGTTTATTTGAGTATCACATAGTAATGAAACATGATATTTTATCCCAAGAGACCCCTGGGATCACATTCTGATTCTATTACTTACTATCTGAGTGGCCTGCAGTAAATGACTTAATCTCTCTGCATTTCAATACTCTCATTTGTAAAGTGATGCTAATAATAATAAAAATAATTCTACCTCATAACATTAATAGTATAATATATGTAAATGGCATGAGATTTTGTTTAAAAAGCATAAGGCATTCAAACTGCTAAACCCTTTGCCTAGCTGCACAATGATTTCTCAATAAATATTTGCTACTTACAGTCAACAAATACTTATTGAGCATCTACAATACACTAGATTCTGGGATTAAGAGTGGGGCTATATGGATTAGGAAGACATGGTTCCTGTCCTTGAGGACTCACCATTGGTGGAATGGAGGTATTACTCAGAAGCAGAGAAGAGTGATATTGTAAGTGGTTAGTGTATGTCAGGACTTCTGCTAGGCATTTAATGTGCATTGACCAATTCATTTAGTCTTCTTAGCCCCAGGAATGGGTGCTACTCTACTCTGATGCATTAAGGTGAATTTCTATGGAGAGACAGGAATGTAGCCATTGTTGCACACAGTGGAGAGCCTGATACATATTTGCTGTTGTATATTTGCTACAAATATTCACATTTCCCCCTACTCTTACAGTACAGGCTACCGTTTGGTTCATAGAGCTTGGGCACTCATGGACTAATCCCTTGGTTTGTGATGGGTTATAAAGCAAATAATTCATGCACAATGCTGACACACCCTGGAGGGTCCTGCCAAATCCTGAGCTGCTTTATCTGTGAAATGGATCTATATATCTACTATTTTAGAGAAGATGCATGGATGTTGGGTGAGAGTAGAGCTGGATTTGAGACATCTACAGTTTTCTGAGTCTTCCTGGTCCCTCGACTGATGTGGACATTGCCAGGGCAAAGGTGAGACCACCTGAGCATGCAGGGTCTGCAAAGATGGGCTGGACCCAAAGCCACACTCGAAAAGAGAGCCCCTGGGAAGGAGAGCAACACAGGTTGCCTTCTTTGGCCTTTAGGTCTGAAAGTTCACCCTCCTCCAGTTCTTCACGTCCTTGACAGAATACTTCATCATCATTTAGAAGAACTGAAAGATTTGTCACTCATTCTCAATGTGACTGAAGGTTAAAGATGAAAATATCTCCTATCTACAATCAAGGAAAATCTCATACTTCCATATACTCTTTGTTAAGGATGCTATGGGCCAGTGATTGATAGAACTGAAGAGAAGGCATCCTACTGCCATGTTAAGGAGCTATGGGTGAGAGGCTGGAGAAGACTATGTTAAATATCTTGGCTCTGCCATTCGACACCTGTGTCTACTGTTTCATATTTTGGTTTCCTCATCTGTAAAATAGGAATGATAATAACAACTGCTTCTCAAGGTTAGGTGATATAATGTGGGCATGCACCTATGACAGATGAAACAAGTACTACCAGTACCCTGGCCACATTGCCTGGTAACATAACACCGATGACAGCTACTTCTACTAAAGCTACTTGATGCTAGATGTTGGGGCTGGGTTCTCATCAGAAAGGATTAAGCACTGGAATTGGGTATCACAGTCACTGGACAAGAGAATGTCATCCTTACTAAGCTGCACAACACGCTTGGTTAGAGCTGGGCTTTGACTCACCTGCAGTGCACCACTATAGGCCCAGCTTCAGGGGGATTGAGGAACTTGACCTGACGGACGAAGCCTAGGAGGCCAGTGGCATAGCAGGGGACGCCATGGTCAGGCCAGCTGGTGAAATGGAAGAGGCGGAGTTCCCGGATCTCATGGTAGCCTTTCTGAGGAAAGAATGGGCCTCTGTTCTTCTAGCTGCTGCCTTCAAGCACCCAGCTTAGCACATGGGCAGCTGCAGCTATGTACTGAGGCGCCTGCCTCCCCGCTGCCAGGGAGGACAGGCCTTGGCAGCGTCATGACACAGTGACTCTGTGGTCAGGAACATTTGGACAATGGGCACCAAGTTAAAGCGAAATCAACTGCTTTATTGCAGGAGTACTCATAGACTTTTGTGTGTCAACTCATATTCTGAGTTCCAAAGAGAGTGACATATTGTTTTTTCAGAGGACTCTCTTTGAAGGTTCTTTCATTCAGTAGGTTCAGTCTGATTTTTCATTCCTTCAGGTAAAAGCTATTCACTAAGGATTATCTATGCTAGGACTTGGGCTAGGCACTATGAAGGAGGAAATAAAAGCCATAGCTCTTTCTCTGGAACAGTTCATGGCATTGCTAGGGAGGAAGGTGACTTTGTGGAGAACTGTAGTGGAGTACATAAAGGAGACAGTTCAGCTAATGTGATCCGGGAAGAGAGGAGAAATCAGGCACAGCTTCCTGCAGGAGGTGATGCTTGACTTGAATCTTGAAATAAATCAATAATGAAATTAGTTAACATCTATTAAGCATTGACTATATACCAGTCACTCTGCTGAACACTTCAATGTATTAATTCATTTAACCCTCATGTCAATCTCATATTGTTATCCCTCTGTCATGGACGAAGAAACTGAGGCTAGCAAGGCTTGGAAACCTGTGTAAGTCACAACCCAAAAAGTCGTAAGCTGACAATTTCACCCTAGCTGTCTGTTCCTATAGTCTGCAGGCCTCATCATTGTGACACTGAAGTATGGGTACTGCTCTGTTGAGGACCTGGAGGGGACCAAAGCAGAAGACCAGTATGGGTGAGGACAAGGGAATGGGACTTAGCATGTTGTGCGCAGAGAGCCACAAAGTGCACAGGGTAGTGCGAGGGGACCATGGAAGACAGCATTGGCCATGTGGGAGGACGGAGCGTTGTGTTCCCCAGGCCCTGGTGGAATCCAAGTCACAGCTTTGATTGCATCTCAAAGGCACTTACAATCCTCAGGGAGGCCACACAGGTGGCTGCATAGAAGGTGAACTCATAACCAAACTTGTAGTTTAGGAGGAATCTGCTGGCTGCCACCTAGAGGATAGGCTTGGATCGATGTTCCAGGCTTGTGTACTCACTCAGGTCTCCATCCCTGGACTGATGGAGCACATTCATCTCCCATGTGTCTTGGCTGATGACAGCTCAAAGTCCTTTTCTTCAGAGAACAGTGCCCCCATGGGGAGGAGAGTACAGCTGGCCCTCAGGCGCGCTGGGTGCTTGACTGTTCTTGTCATTTGCCCAGGACCTTCCCAAGGTATGGACTTTCAGTGCTAAGACTGCTCTGGATAAGCCAGATGGCTAGCTTTCCTCACCAGGTGCAAAAGACCTCTTTGTTTCCAGATTGGACCAAACGTACAAAGCAGTTTAGGCTCTGGGGCCCCCGTGGGGTCAGATGGCAGCAGACTCTGCTGAGACCAGGCCCTGGCCAGGTTCCTTTCTCCTTTCTTCACCCTGTCCCCTCTCTGTCACCCCCCTTGTCCTTTGAGCTCTCTGTTCACCTGGGATCTGGGCATCCACATCACTGCTACCTCCTGATCTGTTTCCAGGGAACCCAGATTGAGTAAGATGAGAGGCAGAGTCTGATTAGGGGACTGAGAACAGAGGCTGTGGCTAAGAGCAACGGGCGAGCTGAAGCTCACAGAACCTCACGCTCTGAGTCAGATGCACCCAGAAGCCCTGGCTTGTACCCTCCAGACTTATCCTGCAATGACGGATCAAAGGCTCTTCTTCCTAATGCGACCTTCAGGAAAGAAATCACTTACAGGTTATGATTTCTGGTCCCCAACTCGGGGACTGATTTTGAGTTAAAGCCCCAAGTGCCTGCCCGTTAGCATGAAGAGACTGTAAAGCTGAATTAATCCCAGAATGCTTTGGGGTTTTTCAGGTCGGTCACCTCCCTATGGAAATTAACTCCTCTTATGATTATTTAAAAGAGAAACAAAGACTCTCCCCTTGTACCTGTTTAAATGAGAAACAAAAAGACACCAAGACATGATCCTAATGCTTCAGCATGCTTTTCTTGCAAGTCTACCAGGGTTGCATGCTCAGGGCATAGATCTCAAGAGGGGCCACTGTCTTCCACCCCGACTTGGTTCCCAGAAATAACCACAGATGTGATGGATGAGATTGGCTCTGCACCTACATCTTCCTTATGGGCTTGAGCATCAGAAGCAGGGAGTGCTGGCTGCTAGTACCTCGCAGGTTCCCTCCTTTCTGGAGATGTGACCTTATCTGGCAAGGGCTGGCTCACCCCCAGAAACCCCCCATCAGCTATAGTTGGTGGACTGATTAGTGTAGGAGCACAAAAGTCTGGTATCCTGTCCTTTGTGATGTGGTTCACTCTTTGGAAGTCCCCTGTGGCTCAGGTCCAGGCTAGATTTTCTGGAGACTATCTTTGCTCTACCTGACACCTTTCTCTCTTGTTTGCCTTGTTCTCTTATGAATTTCTCCTAGAAGAACTCCTTTGGCAACTCCAGTTGCATCTGATCCTTGTCTGAGGTTCCCCTTGGAAGGAACTTGGCCCAAGACAACATCCAAGTACCTATTATGTGCCTCCTCTTAGTTGGGGTAGGGTGTGTGCTTCCTGACTTTTCCAGTGGAGTCAATAGACTTTAAGAGCATCCACATTTGAGGAGAAGAGAGAGGTGATGGGAACAACCAGTACAGCCTGAGGCCATATCGTGGCAGCAAGAATGTCACTGGGTGCATTTTGTGGTCCAGTCTGAATGGCAGCTGCTTTGCTCCTCATGAGCTCTCATCCAAATCTCAAGGGCACGTCTCCCAAAGCATTTAAGGAACTGGGCTGGATTCCCAGTTCCTTTGGGTCCTCAAACCTGTGGCCATGGGGTGCACTGAAGTTGCTGACTTTAGAAAATGACAACTATCATGTAGCAGAATGGGCAATGGACTTCAGGGGCAGACTATGAATCCTGGTTCTACTGCCTCAAACCTGCAAATCTGGACCCCCTACTTAAAGTCTGTGTCTCATTTTCTTTATCTATAAAATATAGATAAAGTACTACCTACCTCAGAGTATGGCTAACAGAATTAAATGAGTGAATCTATGAAAAGCTCTTAGAAAAGCCCTGGATGTAGTAAGTGCTCAGTAAACTTAGGTGGCCTTAAAAAACAGACACCTCTGACATGGTTTACTTTATGATTTGTTTTTGACTTTAACTGTGATGCAAAAGGGATACAGGTTCAGTAAGAATCTTGCTTGAATTGTGAATTATGATCTCTTCACCAACGTAGTGTGTGGTATGATACTCTTTGATACAGCAATCTGTAAGTCCCACTGAGTCATGCCATTAGAAGGGTGAATAACGAATACTCCACAATAATGCTCACAGAAGACCATGTTGCTAATCTCTAACGTTGTGTAGGTTGGGCATGTTAAATGTCATTTTCAAATGACAAGGGGTCAGGGCATAACCCCTGCATAAATCAAGGAACATCTGCATGATATAATGACATAGCAATGATGGTATAATAGTCTAATTATAAAGGCAATCATTATTTGGTATCCCATTCTTTTCTTGTTTTTCTTTTTGAGGCAGTGCCTCGCTATTTAGTTCAGGTTGGACTTGAACTTACTGTGTAGGGCAGGCTGGCCTTCAACTTGTGGTGATCTGTTTGCCTCATATTTCTCAGTGCTGAGATTATAGGCATGTGTCACCATACCTGGCAGGTCTTATTCTTGACACCACTGATGCTTTGGGCTGGAGAATTCTTTGTCATGGGATATATGCTTTGCTCTGTATTGTAGGTTATTTACCCACACCCCTGGCCTCCAGCCACTAGATGCCAGTAAAACCTACCTCCTCCCAAGTTGTGATGACCAAAACACTATCTCTAGATTATGACAAGTATCCTCTAAAGGACCAAATGACTCCTTCCTGAGAACCAAAGGTCTAGCATATGTTGAATTTTTTCCTCCATACATGGCATACTTCTTGGCATCTGCCAGCGATAGCAATCCTTCCATCCTTCACTTGGCTGGAACATTCTCACCCTTCATTCTCAGCCCAGTGCCTTCTCCCAGGCCCTTTCTAACTACTCCATCTTCCTATGGGTCTTTGCTTTCCCTTTGTGTGTTATTCTGTGACTTTTATTGTGCAATGTCTTTATTCCATTGGGTTGTGTGTTGGATGTCACTTGTCCCTTTCCCTAGACCTTTCATAGCAATTATTCAAGTCTGACCTAATAGCTAATCTGCTCTGACACTAAGCATGAGGCTGAGCACAGATCAGATCCTTGGTCTCTATATGGTCTGAATGGCTGCTCAGTCTGCTGGCCAGGCTGCCCACAGCCAAGAGTAGCTTACCTTCTGGACTGTGAAGGTACGAATGACATATTCTGCTAGGGGCTCTGTTTCAATCAGGGTGACTTTAATGTCTCCATAGACTTCTGTATCATCTGGCCAGTATCGCACACACTTCACCTGTGACCCAATGAGAGACAAGGAAGGACAGAGACAAAGATGTATGAGAGGGTGGCCGAATGTGAGCAGCCACCTCATCTGGTTTTCTCATTCAAGTAAACCCAAGGGACAACTTCAGTGACATTTCAGTCCATGGGGAACTCAGATGGCCAGGGACTGGCAAACTGCACAGGGCCAACCTCACTCCCAGAGGCATTGAGGTCATTAGAAATAACAATGGTATCTTCTGTTGCAAATCTCTTTGTCCTTTTCCAATGCATTATTACCCAAAGTGATCAACAAAACGAGGTAAGATAGGAGGGTATTATTCCCATTTTGCAGATGAAAGTAATACTCATTTGGAAGTTCAGTGCCTTGTCCAAGGTCATGTGGCCAGTTTTCTACTTTTGGCTGAGTCCTCTATCTGCTATATCAGGCTGGAGCAGGCTAGTGCAGTGAGCTGAGCAAAGATAAGAAAACAAGGCGGGAAACAGCTAGGGGATGGAAGCAGAAATGGTCAGGAGAGGGTCATTATTAAGAGGTGGTAGTTGGGAACTGGAAGGAGAAAGGCTCTTGGTTGGGGAAAGAATGAAAGTGCTGGGCTCAAAGGGAAGACTCTAAACCTGTTCTCTGCCCTGGAAGTGGGTACAGATGCCACGAACAAGCATTCCCACATGGGACTCTACAGGTCACATTCCACGAAGGAAAAAGAGATCATGGTTTCCCCTTAAAAGAACAAAAGCATTATTACCATTCCGGGGGACGCCGCACGGCCTAGCGTGGCATTTCCCACAGTGTGTTCCGCTGGGTGCTAATAGGTGTTAGGTAAAAAAAAAACAAGAAACAAAAAACAAACAAAGAAAGGTTTTGTGGTCAAATGAGTTTGGGAAATGCTGATTAAACAAAGTTAAACAGGCTGCCTCACTACAAGACTACTTGGCTCCTTCAATGCGCTAACACTAATGTGCTTCAGGATTCTTCAAAAGGGGCAGAGGACACAGCATTTCCCAAACGTATTTAACCATGGAACCCTCTTCTCACTAAGCATCCTGCTGACTAGCATCCCATGGAACCCACTTAGGGAAACGCTGGCATAATGCAACAGGCTCTGGAGGGAAATGCATTCATTGCATAGTTGTAAAACTCATCATCTTTCAGAAAGTGCTGAAATCTCTCTGAGACTTAGCTTTCTGCCAGTAATAATAGATAGCACTTACTTGACCCTAATATGGCTTTACTAAGTGTTCTGTGAATAATTTACATGTACTATTTTAATTACTTATCATCATAATCTTAGTGCTATTATTCCCATTTT